AGAAGGTTGATCTGACCCGGTTCAAATGGATCCACATTGAGGCAAGCTCTGTTCTACGTGTGTTGGTGGGGGCTCAGACAGGCTGACTCAGCTCCCTAATAAAGGAAATGAGAGCCATCACTCTAAGAAGTCTTGGAGTCCGGATGAGAGGAAACCTAGAAATCTGAAGTTCCAATCCTAGCACTGTCGCTCAAATTACTGTAGATCCTTCAGAAAGTCTATCTCTCATTCGATGTGAGCAATATCCTGTAATCCCAGTACTTATGAGGCTGAGGCAAGAGGATTGTCAGTTGGAGTCTGCCCTGGGCTATATAGTAACACTATCTCAAAAAGCCAGAAAAGAGGTTGGCGGTGATGGCTCAACATGGTGAGGTTACAGAAGCCTGTAATCACAGCTATCTGGGAGATGGAGATTGTAGTGTGAGGCCAGACTGGGCAAAACAGTTACTTAGACTCCATCTCAACAAAACAAGCCCAGGGTAGTAGCATGTCCCTGTCATCTAGCTACTTGGGAGGTAAATAGGTCAGAAGGATGATTATAGTCACCACAAAACCCCTATCTATAAAATAACCTAAAAGCAGAACACTGGCGTTTGTAGCTCAAGTGGCAGAGCACCTGGTTAGCAAGCATGAGGCTCTGAAAGAAAAAATGGAAGGTAGTAGAAGGGAGATGGGTACAGAGGAAGATTCTCTTTCTGGATATATAGCTCAGGCTGGCCTTGAACTCTTGATCATTCTGCCTCAGCACTCCCTAGTGCTGGGATTACAGGCATGCACCATTGCATTCATATTGTTTTATTTTGTAATCGCCTCGCTGGTCAAATGGCAAAGCTAGTGAATAAGGTCTCCAAGGTCCAGTGACAGCCCTAAAGTTTTGTAGCTGAAGATGGGGTTCCAGTCCAGCCCCTCCAACCCCTCTACCTCCTCACCCAGAATGAGCTCTATGAACCAAGCACTTCCTGAGCTAGCCCTATCCTGCCCCAGGGCCGGAATGCATCAGAACAAGTAAAGATGCTACATCGGATAGAACAGCACAATGCCAGGCAGCCTCCAGAGCAGAAGATTCGGGTGTCTGTGGAGATAGAGAAGCCCCGGGAGGAGCTGTTCCAGCTATTTGGCTATGGAGAGGTGGTGAGTACACCACAGCTGCCCCTTGCCACACTCAGCTAATGTAGCTCTTAACGGGGCTGGTGGGGGGGGGGAGCTCCTGCCTACCTATCAGCTCCAAATGGCAGCTCCTGGGTAAGTGTCCAGAGAGCCACAGCACCTTCCCTCTGAGCCTCCCCAGACTTCCTCTGCAAAGTATGGAGATCAAGCTGTTCTCTGAGGTTCCAAGACACTTTGATCTCTGGAGTGCAGGTGGCAGCCACTAGGAATGAGGGGAGGGCAGGAAGGAGACTTGCACGTAATGGGCAGGACTGGGGGAAATGGAATTGAATCTTAGTCTCGGGCCTTGGTACATAATTTAAAAGTATGGATGCCTGAGTCAATCTCATTCTCTCCTTTCTCTCTTTCTCTCTCTCACTCACTCTCACTTTCTTTTCTCTCCCTCTCCTCATCCTCCATGCCCCCAGGGGAAATGAGGCTTGAACTCAGGGGTTAGGTACTGTCTCTTAGTTTTTACACTCAAGACCGTCTACCACTCGAGCCACAGCTCTACTTCTGGATTTATTTGTTTGTTTATTTATTTATTTTTGGTTATGGGGCTTGAACTCTGGGCCTGGGCACTGTCCCTCACCTCTTCAGCTCAAGGCTAGCACTCTACCACTTGAGCCACAGTACCACTCCTGGTTTTCTGGTGGTTTATTAGAGATAAGAGTATCACGGATTTTCCTGCCTGGGGTTGGCTTTGAACTGTGATCCTCAGATCTCAGCCTCTTGAGTAGCTAGATTACAGGCACTTCTGGATTTTTGCTGGTTAATTGAAAATAAGAGTCTCTCAGACTTTCTTGCTCACACTGGCTTTGAATATCAATACTCAGATCTCAGTCTCCTGACTAGCAGCACTCAGCTACTCTCATTTTTTGTTTGTTTCTTTGTTATTTAACTGGTAAGGTTAGAAGCCAGGTCTTCTTTATTTTTTACCATAGCTATCTCTGGAAACTCTAATGTACAGCTAGTGTTAAGAGAGTTCTAGAGAGAGGCTGGGAAGATGGCTCAGTGGTAAAGCGCTTGCCTTGCATGCATGAGGCCCTGGGTTCGATTCCTCAGCACCATATAAGCAAAAAGAAAAAAACCGGAAGTAGCTCTGTGGCTCAAGTGGTAGAGCTGAGGGACAGCGCCCAGGCCCAGAGTTCAGGCCCCACGACCGGACCCCCCCCAAAAAAAAGAGAGAGTTCTAGAGAAACCTGTTTTTTTTTTGGGGGGGGGCCTATTTGTGTGTGGGAAACAAAAGCAAATAATGCTCTCTTGAGAACTAGCACTATTAAAGTGGGCAGGGATAGATTTTACCACAAGATGGCGCTCCAGATCCACTCTGGTTTTTCAGTTCTCTGATGCTAGAACGAATGGACCAGGACTTTGGGGTTCCTATTCACAAGGGTGTGTTCTAAGCAAACATAAAATTGTGTTCCTGTGAGACAGCGAGATGCCACGTGGGGATTTATGTAGCTATATTGGGGGGGCTGTGTTATTTCACGGGGAGGGGGGCAACCCCAGGTTGGCGGTGGTGAGTGTTGAGGTGGCTGCCAGCCTCTCTTCCATTCCCCACAGGTGTTTGTCAGCAAAGACATAGCTAAACACCTGGGGTACAAGTCAGCTGAGGAAGCCCTGAGAGGCTTGTACAGTCGTGTGAAGAAGGGGTGAGTAAGGAAGCCACGAAGGGGCCCTAGAGGACATGGGGGGAGGTGAGCCTCTCCTTCAAGGGTCATCCCCGCTGTGTGGGGGAACGGGGTGTGCTCTCAGCTAAGTGGACCTCTTTCAGGGCCACACTCATCTGTGCCTGGGCCGAGGAGGGTGCCGATGCCCTGGGCCCTGACGGCCAGCTGCTCCACTCAGATGCCTTCCCACCACCTCGGGTAGTGGACACTTTGGGGGCTGGAGACACCTTCAATGCCTCTGTGATCTTCAGCCTCTCAAAGGGTGAGTGCCATGGGGTCCTCTGGGGACTGGGGCCAGGCCCTGTCTGGCACAGCACGCTGACCCCGCTGCTATTCCCCTCTCCAGGGAACAGCATGGAAGACTCACTCAGGTTTGGCTGCCGGGTGGCTGGCACGAAGTGTGGCCTACAGGGGTTCGATGGCATTGTGTGAGAGCTGTGTGGCCGGGGCACCAGCTCCTCTCCCCTTGGAGGCTGACCGCACGGCCTGCTGTTGCTTCCCTCCTCCATCCAGCCTGACTCCCCCAGCCCTGCTTCCTGGGAAGATGGGAAACACTGCTGGTGCCCTTTGTCCCACCATATCTCATCCTGCACAGCCGCTGAGCAAATAAATCTCTTTCCCCAAACCAGCTGCTTCCGGCTGGCTGTTTGTCCTTCTTGAGGTCTGAATTGCTCTGGTTCAGATTCCTAAGGTTTTATCCCCCATTCTCCAAACTAACCTCTCCAGCCAGGCTCAGAGGGGTGGTTGTCTAGGCCCCAGGGGCAGGAAGTGTCCCAGCCTTGCAGCCAGCTGTCCTCAATCTCTCTGGTGGCAGCTCCGGGCGTGAGACCTTGAACCCTTCTCTAGGACAGACAGCAGCTCGTAGGCCCAGCCAGCCGACAGAACAACCAGAAGCAGTGAGAAAAGCTCCTTGGGGCCCTGTGCTGTGTAGACTCCACAGGATCTGAAGCCAAACATCAGCAGCGGGCAGGGAGCCTGCTCTGTGGTTCCATGGGGCCTTTGCTGTCCAAAAATCCCTTCTCCAGTGCTCCACCCTCCCTGCCTGCCTCAGTATCTCAGCCACAGAGGTAACCAGATACAGAGGCGGGGTAGGGTGGAGTAGGAGGTGAGGCCCTGTAATAGGATCAAGAGCGTGAGCATTGCTGGGTGCTAAGTAGCTCGTGCCTGTAAGCCTAGCTACTCAGAAGGTTGAGACCTGGATCGTGGTTCAAAGCCAGCCTGAACAGAAAAGTCTGCAAAACTCCATGGTATTGCATCAGCCATGGGCAAAACAGCTGAGAGATATGAGGCCCTGATCCAAGAACCAATACTGGCATTCTCTCCCCCCCCCCCCCCACACACCCCAAAAAAAGCTGGCTCACACCTGTAATCCTAGCTACTCAGGGGGCTGAGATCTAAGGATCACAGTTCAAAGCCACCCAGGCAGGAAAGTCCATGAGACTCTTATCGCCAATAAACCACCACAGAAGCTATGGTTCAATGGTAGGGTGCTTGCCTTGAGCTGAAGAGCTGAGGGACAGTACCCAGGTCCAGAGTTCAAGCCCCACGACTGACAAAAGAAAAAGAAAAAAAAAAAAAGCATGGGCTTTAGAGTCAGACAGACCTGAATGGCAAATCTGCAAGTCTGTCCTTTAATTTGGTGTGTCACCTTAGAAGAAATTACTCAGTTTATCTTCCTCAGTTTCCTCATCTGTCAAAATGACATCTCAGCTTGTCAAAACGAGGGCACCCCAGTTTTGTCTGGTTATAGAATTGTTGTGGATAAAAGCCGGAAGTTACAGGAAATGCCGGCATGGTACCTGTGTGGAGGTTCTCACAAATGGTAGTTGTTGTATTACCAGAGACAGGAGGGCAGGTGCAGGGTGACACAGACCATCTGCCTGAGTGGTAGGAAGAGGGCACTGGTATCTGACCACCCTGTGGAGGGCGTGGGAGCAGCCTCAGGCTCCAGAGACAGACTGTGCTTTCTCCTGGGCTGTCTGCTGCAGGTTGTAGATCATGGTGCAGACTTAGCTGTTTTGACAGTTCCAGGTCAGAGGCACTGGGAAAGCTGAATCTAAGAATCTAAGATGCTTGTCCATCGCACACACACACCCCCATCCCCACCCCAACTCTATCCCTGATAGGATCTGGCAAAGCTTGACCAGTGCAGAATAGCCCAAGAGATAAATTCATTTTGTTCTTTATTGGTTGTCTGAATCTGAATGTTGTCTCTCAGTTTAGGGTCTCCTTGAACTACACAGAAAGACATGTCTCCTGCTGTTGCCCCCAAAGGGGCCACAGAAATTGGTTTATATTCTTTTGGTTTTGAGACAAGGTCTCACTATGTAGTCTAGGCTGGCCTTGAACACACTACCTTCCTGCTTTTGTGTTCTGAGTGCTGGGATCACTAGTCTGGGCCATTACATCCAGTTCCAAGGTGGCTCTTGTCCCCTTAGGCTTGTGTCCTGACACTGAGATTTTGAGAGTTGCAAGCCTGTATCCTCAATGTCTATATCTCATCATTCTCCAGTTGAATACTATGAACCTCAAACTCGTTTGGGAGGTTCTTGGACTCCAGTGTTTCCCCCAGAAGGACCTCCCCGCCATTGTCCTTGGCCTCTGCCTCTTCCTCAGCATCTTGTCTGGGACCTGGGACATATCCTCCTTCCACCTCTACCTGTTCCCTAGCCTCTCCTTCAGAACCTGGGGGATCTTCAGCCACTTCCTGTCCCCTGGCTTCAGGGACGAGGGAAGCTGGGGCATCGCCTTCAGTTCCTGGTTTATGTGCAGCTTCCTGTAGAGGCTGCAAAGCCTCCCTTCCGGCTGCTTCCTGGCCCCATGCCTCTTCCCTGGATCCCAGGGCTTCCTGGGTTTCTTGTCTCAGTGGGCTTTTAGCAGATAGGGCCTGCCTCCCAGTAGCTTGGGGCTCCTGCAGAGCTGGGACTAGGAGTCCTGGGAGCTCTGTATGCCGGGGGGCTTCTCCTGGGAAGCTGACGAGCTCTGCCGGGGTTAGGAGCCCATCTCCATTCAGGTCCTGGGTCTCAAGCACCTTGTCCACAACCAGGATCACCTATGGGAGTACAACAGAGTTCCCATGGAGTTTCCAGACGTGTTCTCAAGAGGCCTGCCCCATCCGATACCCCAGCCCTGCCGTAGAGGCTTTGGAGCCTCCCCTACTCCTGTTTTTCTGTTTTGTTTTTGTTTTGTTTTGTCGGTCATGGGGCTTGAACTCTGGGCCTGGGCGCTGTCCCTCAGTTCTTCAGCTCAAGGTGAATGCTCTACCACTTGAGCTACAACGCCACTTCTGGCTTTCTGGTGGTTTATTGGAGATAAGAGTCTCATGGTCTTTCCTGCCTGGGCTGGCTTTGAACTGAGATCCTCATATCTCAGCCTCCTGAGTATCTAGGACTACAGGTATGAGCCACCTGTGCCCAGCTCTTGTTTTGTTTTTGGGGCCTGAACTCAAGGCCTGGGCACTGTCCCTGAGTTCTTTTGCTCAAGGCTAGTGCTCTACCAGTTGACCTACAGCTACATTTCTAGCTTTTCGGTGGTTAATTGGAGATAAGAGTCTCACAGACTTTCCTGCTTGGGCTGGCTTAGAACTGTGATCCTCAAGGATCCTTAGGCTGTGATCCTAGCCTCCTGAGTAGCTAGGATTACAAGTGTGAGCCACCATTTATAGAGGCTCTACCGAGAACCATAATGGAAAAGCACCGCAGAGTCTCATGTGGAGCTTACTGGGTTGATGGGAAAGTCAGCGAGTCCAGGGGCTAGAGCTGCTGTCAGCATGACCAAGAGCTCCAGGCCGTCCAGCTGTCCACTCTGGTCGTAGTCATGGAGTGCAAAGAGGTAGAGGAGAACTAGAGAGGAGAAGCTGGTTAGGAGAGGCACAGGGCCTGTGGGGAAGGCCCGTAGCCAGCACTAATGCCCCGGGCATCCCAGGCCCAGCAGCCCGGCTCCTCACCCTGCTCCCGGTTCATGGCCTCTGGCTCCTCTTCCCTTTTCATCTTCCCCAGGCCCTTCAGGTAGTTCTGCAGAAGCCTGTTGGAAAAGAGGCAAATCGCCATGCACATCCAGTCTCTCACGCCTGACCTGACCTTTCTGACGGCCCCAGCCCAGCTACTCACCGAAGCTGCTCTGGACCTGGCTCAAAGGGGTTGGGCAGGAGCCGCTGCTGTTCTTCAGGGGCTGGCCTGGAGTAGGGAGGGAAAGACCAGCTTTTCAGAGAACCTCCTTGAGGGCCAGCCTACCCGCCTTCCATGCCCCAGCCTCCTGGCTGACTTCTCAACCCAAAGGGAATTGTGCCGTTCCTTGAATTCCCAAAATCCTTAAGATGAGAACCTTCAAGTGCCTTAGCAATCAGAACGTCAATCCCTCAGGCTGTTTTTGCAGCTGCCTTATTTAGTCTTTAGAAAACCCAAAGAAAGGGCTGGGAAGGGGCTGGGAAGGTGGCTCAGTGGCAGAGAGCTTGCCTTGTATGCATGAGGCCCTGGGTTCGATTCGACAGCACCACATAAGAAAAAAGCTGGAAGTGGCGCTGTGGCTCAAGTGGTAGAGCGCTAGCCTTGAGCTGAAGAGCTGAGGGACAGCGCCCAGGCCCAGAGTTCAGGCCCCACAACCAGACCCCCGCCCCCCACCCCCAAAAAAAAAGAAAACCCAAAGAAAGGCTGAGTATGTTGGCACATGTCTATAACCCCTGCTGCTCAGGAGGCACAGGTAGGAGGATTATGGCAGGAGACTAGCCCCTGGAAATTTAGCTTGAAATCCTATCTGAAAGACAAGCAAAGGGAGCTGGTGACTCATGCCTTTAATTCTAGCTACTCAGATTGGAAGCCAGCCCAGGCAGAAAAGCCCATGAGATTCTTATCTCCAATTAACCAGCAAAAGGCAGGAATTGGGGATGTGACTCAAATGGTAGAATCCTTTTTGTTTTTGTTGTTGTTGGTCGTGGGGCCTGAACTCTGGCCTGGGCGCTATCCCTCAGCTCTTCAGCTCAAGGCTAGCGCTCTACCACTTGAGCCACAGGGCCACTTCCGGCTTTTTTCTTTTTGCTTATGTGGTGCTGAGGAATTGAACCCAGGGCCTCATGCATGCAAGACAAGCACTCTACCACTGAGCCACCTTCCCAGCCCCAGCAAATGGTAGAATCTTGAGTGAAGAAGCCAAGCAAGAGTGGGATGCCCTGATTTCAAGCCCTAGTACTCACACACACACAAACACACACACACACACACACACACACACACACAGAGACTGGGTATATGGTTCAAATGACAGCACTTGCTACTCCAGACTCTTAAGTTCAGTCCCCAGTACCTCTAGGAAAGAAAGAAGGAAGAGAAGGAAGAAGGGTTCAAAAACCCAAAGGAGGTATCTGGTAGTCAAGACCAGAAGAAGCCATACCTTGTAGACAATGGGAGGTGACAGCCTACTGAGTGGCAGGGGAACATGGTTTAGAACAACTTCCTTCAGCGCTGGCACTGACCAGGTTTATACAGGCCAGCTTGCTCCATGACACATGATAGCTAGCTCAATTTGGGGTTTCAGTCTGCTGCGCATCTCTTGGTCTGCCTTCAATGCTCAGAACATTGCACCCAGTTCTGGATGGGGCTACATATAAACCAGGCCATGATGGCAGCGAGCTAGCAGGAGCTGTTGAGGCCATTTTTGTCACTGCTGCCAGTCCTGGAGGCTATTTCTACCTTCCCTCCTACACATGATATGTACTGCGCAGCATGGATAAACACCGTGTCTAGAAATGGGTTCTAATAAAATAGAAATGATATGCTAATGATCTCTAGTTCCTTGTCATTCCCACAGACTCTTCCCTGTCCCTAGCTTCTCAGCACTCCACGCTGCACTGGAGCTAAGCACTCTGTCGCAAAGGAGTCAACAACCAGGAACTGAATGCCCACCTTGTACCATTCTAACAGGCACAAGGCAGGAGGTTGGGGGAGGGGAGTCCAAGCACCTGGCTCCCAGAGAGGCCCAGGTCATCCTTCAGAGACTCCCAGCCCAAGCCCACAGCTCACACCCCTAACCCTCCTACCTGATGGCTCCATCCTTGGGAGCAGCTTGGCCCAGTGGGAGCAGGAGCAGTGGCAGTATGAATGCACTCATGATCCAAGGTACCATTCTTCTTGGAGCTGGACCTAGGAACAGATCCAGGGTCACAGTGTCAGAAATCAGCTGGCTCACAAAGAAATGCCTTCTCTCTTTGCCTTTACAAACAGGAGCCCAGAGGACAAGACTCACCCCATATGAGACCTATACATGAATATCAGCCATCTCCCATGGAATTTTACTCAGAAAAGAGTTCTCATAAATCAGAGCTTGTCTGGAGAAACAGTCCTAGGGAGAGGTGGGCTCTTCACGGCTCTGTTCCTCATAGTCCCTGAGGTTCTCAGTGAAGGGCCACTCAAGTATGCCGGTTGTACTTTAGGCCACTCATTTTATACATAGGGAGGGAGGACCTCAGAGAGGTCAGATTAAAAACACAAAAAGAGGCCAGGTGCTGGTGGTTCACACCTGTAACCCTAGCTACTAAGATGGTTCAAAGCCAGCTGGGCAGGAAAGTCTGTGAGATTCTTACCTGCAATAAACCACGAGAAAACCGGAAGGAGCACTGTGGCTCAAGTGATAGAGTGCCTGCCTTGAGCTGAAGAGCTGAGGGACAGCGCCCAGGCCCAGAGTTCAAACCCATCATCAACACCACACACACACACACACACACACACACACACACACACACACACAAACCTACAGAGGCAAAGGGGAAGATAGATGATTAATTTGTATTTATTAGAAATCAACTAGCTAGCTGGGCACCAGTGGCTCATGCCTGTAATTCTAGCTATTCAGGTGGCTGAGATCTGATGATCATGGTTGAAAGCCAGCTTGGGCAGGATAAAGTCTGAAAGCCTCTTATCTCCAATTAACCACAAAAAGCTAGAGTGGAGACGTGGCTCAAATGATAGAATATGGGGCTGGGAAGGTAGCTCAGCGGTGGAGTGCATGCCTTGCAAGTATGAGGTTCGATTCCTCAGCACGACATAAACAGAAAAGGCTGGAAGTGGCACCGTGGTTACCAAAGTAATCACTCAATTATATGGAGACAACCATATACAAAATGGACTGGTTGAAAACAGGGCACAAAGCTCTCTGGTAAGTCCTAAGGAGATAGGTACGTATAACATGAGTTTCCATGGAAGCAGATGCCCACCCCTGAGGCCCCAAACCCATCTCTAGGGAGAAAAACTCATCTGTTGCTTGATGATCTAACCCTCTAGCATGGTACCCTACAATCCAGCCAGCACTGCATTTTCCTAGAGGAAGGTTCACAGCTTTTAGCAGATTCTCTGAGTTCTACGCCCCCCGTAAGTGGACATCGATTCCCTCAGAGATGAGAGGAAGAGCAGTGACTCTGGCCCATGAGAAGATCAAAAAATGCTGCCTTCAACTAACCACTGATTGCTCATGCCTATAATCCTAGCTACTCAGGAGGCTGACATCGAAGGATTGTGGTGTGAAGCCAGCTTGAGCAGGAAAAGTCTGTGAGACTCTTATCTCCAATTAACCACTCAGAAACTGGAAGTAGAGCTACAGCTCAAAGTGGTAGAGCGCTAACCTTGAGCAGAAAACCTCAAGGACAGCACCTAAGCCCTGAGTTCAAGACCCACAACCAACAAAAAAGAAAAAAAAAAAAACACGCTGCCTTGAGCAAGATGCAGGAAGGCACAGAAGTCCGCTAGAAGGGGAGACTACCAGTATATAGAATCTGAGTTCAAACCCCAGGACCAGCAAAAAAAAAAAAAAAAGCATTCACCCACACAGCTGGCACCATAGATAGTTGAGATTTTGTTTTTGTGCCCAGGAGAGAAGACAATGTCTTGGGCTCATTCAAGGAAGACCGTTGGACCAGAGATCTCTGGTCGGTCACAGCCCAATGACAGGACTGTGACATATTTCATGTCTAGAAGTATGACAGTAAATGTCCCAAAGTAATTACAAAGCTGGACAAAAATAGAAAGTGTTCTTTAAAAAGCATTGAGTAGGCAAGAGATTCTCACCAAAGCAGGGTGAAACCAGTAATCTGGGGGAAAAGTGAATTTAATGTCAGCCTTTGCCTCAAGTGTATGCCAAACCCAGCCCATGTGAACTTGAACTATCAGTCTGAGTGGTGTGTGCAGCAGAGGAGACCAGAGATAAAGAAATGAATAGCAGATTCCCATATAAAGTCTGGATTCTTAATAGCAACCTGGTACAAAGGTGAACAAAGCTTACTGTGGCAAAGGACAAAGAAGACTCACCAACTTTGATCCTGGTGCTAAAGGAGAAGGGAGAAGAAGAAAAATACCTTTCCTGAGAATTTTAAACCAGCCTGCTGCCTTATGGGATTGAGGCTTGAATTGATCTATCTGTAGGGTTCAAAAAGCCTAAGGCAGGTTTTATTTATTTATTTATTTTTGTATCAGATCTGGGCTTTTGTGCTTGAAGCTAGTGCTCTACCACTGAGCTACAGCTCCAGTTCTGGCTTGTTTTGGTAGTTAATTGAAGAAAAGAGGCTCACAGATTTTGCTGCGTGGGCTCCCTTTCAATTTCGATCCTCAGATTAGGATTATAGGCTTGAGCCTCGGGTGCTAGGCAGGTTTTGTTTATTCTGAAGTGATAGTGGTCGTGGTTGACAGAGGAAAACCTCATCTTCCCTGGAGAAAACCAACTCCAATCAAAGAATTCCATTGATGAACTTTCAAGAAACATGGATTCTTGGCCTGGGGAGTTATCAGTACTACAACATTCACTTAATGTGCCCAAGACCCTGGGTTTAATACCCAGCACCAAACAAACTAACCAAAAGGTCATAAATATACAAGGAAGTAAGGCACTGTGAATAAAAGCCAGTAAAACAATAGCAAAATTAGGCCAAAAAACCAGAATTGCTATATTGGAATTATCACACACAGAAGGGCAAGCAAGACTCTCAGAAAGTAAGAGCAAATATACTTGAGGAATAAAGATATACATTATTTTTTTTTTCTTTTGCAGCACTGGGGATCAAATCCAAGTCCCCATGCATGCTAGGTAAGCACTCAACCACCAAGCTAAGCCCACAGTCTGTTCCTTAATATTTCTTAAGCATCTACTATAAATGAGGTACTATCTTATCAGTAAGATGAAAGTGATAAAGTAGAACTATATATTCTTTTTCATCTTAAAGCTTGCAAAAATTTAAAATTAGGAAAAGACTCAAATAAGATAGAAACAGAAATTGTATGTACATGCCTATAATCCCAGCTACTTGGGAGATTAAGACAGGAGGATTGGCTGGGCACCAGTGGCTCATGCCTGTATTCCTAGCTATTCAGGAGGCTGAGATCTGAGGATTGTGGTTCAAAGCCAGCCCAGGCAGGGAAGTCAGTGAAACTCTTATCTCCAATAAACCATTCAGGAAACCGGAAGTGGCACTGTGGCTCTAGTGGTAGAGTGCTAGGCCTTGAGTGAAATGTAATCCAGTCCAAAGTCCAGGGGTCTTGGCCCTAACCACAAGCTAAGTTCCAAATGTGGCTGCACAGTACAGTAGCTGTGCCTTCTCGGCCTCAGGTCGCCTTCTGTGACCTGGGCTGAGGAGAGGCCTCACAGGGCACGGGGAGGGCAGAAGGTGACATGCCTGGGTAGGGCAGCGCCTGCTACCCAAGGTGGCCTTTCTCCTGCCAAAAGTTTTCTGACTGCTCTGTGCCCATTTCACACATACCCTCCCTTCTTCACACAACCTCTCCACCTGGATTTTCTCAAATTACTTCCTCCATCCCATCTGCTTCACTGCTAGGACCAGGCCACGGGAGACAATGAAGTCATTTAAATTCTCAGAACTGTCAAAACTCATTATCCCAGCTGAATGTGTTAGAAGAGGACATTTGTGAACTTCAAAGACTGAGCCTCCCGTGGGGGGTTTAAACCCCATAATTGACAATGAAAACAAAAAGAGTTTGTAGTTGTTTGGAGACAGGTTCTTGCTATGTAGCTCAGGCATATATGGAAGTCGCTATATACTCCAGGATGGTCTCAAACTCATGATCCTCTTGCCTCAGCCTTCCAAGTGTAGGGATTGCAGATAAGTTCTACTAAACCTAGCAGAGTGTCCAAGAACAAAGAGAGATAGGAGAAATTTGTGAGAATATCTGTATAATTGATTTTTTTTCCTCTCATGGACTTAAACTCAGGACCTAGGTATTGTCTCTGAGCTCTTTTTGCTCAAGGCTAGCACTCTACCACCACTTCCTATTTTCCGGTGGTTAACTGGAGGTAAGAGTCTCTTGGACTTTCCTGCTCTAGCTGGCTTTGAACCGAGATCCTCAGATCTCAGCCTCCTGAGTAGCTAGGATTACAGGCGTGAGCCACCAGTGCCCAGCTCACACATTGATTTTTTTATTTTTTTGGTCGGTTGTGGTGCTTGAACTCTAGGACTGGGTGCTGTCCCTGAGCTCTTTAGCTCAAGGCCAGTGCTCTACCACTTACTTCTGATTTTCTGGTGGTTAACTGGAGATAAGAGTCTTACAGATGGGCTGGGAAGGTGGCTCAGCGGTAGAGTGCTTGCCTCGCATGCATGAGGCCCTGGGTTTGATTCCTCAGCACCAAATAAGCAGAAAAAGCCAGAAGTGTCACTGTGGCTCAAGTGGTCGAGTACTAGCCTTGAGCTGAAGAGCTGAGAGACAGCGCCCAAGCCCAGACAGAGTCAGGCCCCACAATCAGCAAAAAAAAAAAAAAAAGAGAGAGAGAGAGAGAGGGAGAGAAACTCTCAGATTTTCCTGCCAGGGCTGGCTTTGAACCACGATCCTCAGATCTCAGCCTCCTGAGTAGCTAAGACTATAGGCATGAGCCACTAGCGCCCAGCTCACACATTGATTTTTTAATGAGGAGAAAGAAGAAAGGATTTCCACAGAGCCTAATCAAAGTTAAAGAGTTAGCCCTATTGGCTAGCCAGCCAGGGAGCAAGGAAGGCAAGGACCAGTGCTTCTTCAACCCTAGCTGTTCAACAGTATGCCTAATGCTGGGGATGGAGCCCAGAAGTTGGAAATCATTTGTAAGCATAAGTAGTGGCCCAGGGAATATGGAGACTTTTTTGGACACAGGGCTTTCCCCTAGTTTCTATTCTAAGCTACCAAGTTTTGAGTGATTTGTTAAGTCATAATAATAATCAGAACACCAACTGTGTAAGAATGGGTAACATGGACAAGCCACACTGCGGCTTCCTCTCAGAAGGGCCTCTGCCTCTCCCTGGGCTTGGCTACTGCTCTGCTGTCACTGTCTTGAAAAAATCAGTTTTGATCAGGCCTGGTAAATTATGTCCTTGGTTCTGAGCCCTCCCCACACAAATTGCTATCACTGTCCTCCTGGTCCTATGTCCCGCACATGCCCAGCAGTGCCCGAGCTACCCTCACACACGTCTGTATGTGCAGTCAAGAGAGCAGAGCTGGAGAAACCAGCCTGACCCACTTGCAAGTCCCAGTCCCAACACTGACTCTCCTCTGATCTCTGGTAAGTTCATTATCATCACTAAACTTTGGCTACTTTGTCTGGTGCTAGTGACTCACGTCTGTAATGGAAGCTGAGATCCAAGGATCATGGCTTGAAGCCAGCCTAGGCAGGAAAGCCCAGGAGACTCTTACCTCCAATTAACCAGCCAAAAGCCAGAATAAAGAGTTGTGGCTCAAGTGGTAGAGCATCAGCTTTAAGTAAAAAAGCTAAGAGACAGCACCCAGGTCCTAAGTTTAACCCTCAGGACTGGCACAAAAGAAATAAAACTAAGTGATTAGCTGGACACTGATGACTCACGCCTGTAATCTTAGCTACTCAGGAGGCTGAGATCTGAGGATTGTAATTTGAAGCCAGCCTGGGCAGGAAATCTGTGAGACTTTTTTTTTTTTTTTTTCCCCGGTTGTGGGGTCTGAACTCTTGGCCTGGCACTGTCCTTCAGCTCTTCAGCTCAAAGTGAGCACTCTACCACTTGAGCCACAGCGCTACTTCTGGCTTTTTCTGCTTATGCGGCTGAGGAATCGAACCCAGGGCCTCATGCATGCAAGGCAAGCACTCTGCTACTGAGCCACCTTCCCAGCCCTCTGTGAGACTCTTATCTCCAATTAACCACCAGAAAACAGAAGTGGCACTGTGGCTCAAGTGGTAGAGAGCACTAGCCTTGAGCGCAGAAAGCTCAGGGACAGGACAGCACCAAAGCCCTGAGTTCAAGCCCCATGACCAACTAAAAAAAAAAAAGAGTCAAACTAACACCTCATTTAATGTGTAATGGGTGGTACAATGTGACTGACATGTTCATGCTCACACATTTGTATTGGTACTGGAGCTTGAACTCAGGGCTTCATGCTCTTCTTTACCGTTTTTACTCAAAGCTGGTGATCTACCAGTTGAGCCACACCTCCATTTCTATTTGCTGATTAACTGGAGATAAGGATCTTGGGCTGGGTGCCAGTGGGTCATGCCTGTAATCCTAGCTACTCAGGGGGCTGAGATCTAAGAATGGAGGTTCAAAGCCAGCCTGGGCAGAAAGGTCTCCGTGAGACTCTTATCTCCAATAAACTACTCAAAAAAGACAGAAGCGGTGCTGTGGCTAAAGTGGTAGAGCACTAGCCTTGAGCACAAAGAGGCTTAGGGACAGAGCCCAGGCTCTGTGTTCAAGCCCCAAGACTGGGGGTGGGGGGGAGGGATTATAGGCATGAACCACCAGAGCCTTGCTATGCTTACTTTTTTTTTTTTGTCAGTCATGGGGCCTGAACTCTGGGCCTGGGCACTGTCCCTGAGCTCTTCAGCTCAAGGCTGACACTCTACCACTTGAGCCACAGCGCCACTTCAGCTTTTTCTGCTTATGTAGTGCTGAGGAATTGAACTCAGGGCCTCATGCATGCAAAGTAAGCACTCTACCACTGGGCTACCTTCACAGTCCCTACAGAGGTTTTTGTAAGCAACAGAAATAAAACAGCCATCAAACCACTGCTTGTCAAATAAAAACAAACCATTTCCTATAATTATACTGTGCATGAATATAACTGCCCTAATAAACACATGAAAGCCAGTATAACTGTTAGTTAACAGTTGTGATATCGTTCAGTGAAGTTCTTAGATGCATACTTTTTTCACAGTGACCTTCTGCATGAGATTTCTTCAAACCTTTGCACAGTACAGAGAAGGAAATCTTGGCCTTGAGGGTTAGACCTTTGATCAAATCCTGCCTCTTGACCCTGCTGTGTGAGCTAGGCCAAAGTCTGCACCTCTCCAAAGAGTGGAATCTTCATCTTTAAAATGAAGACAACAGCTTGGGGTTGGGGGCTCACACCTGTAATCCTAGCTACTCAGAAGGTTAAGATCTGAGGATCATGGTTTGAAGCCAGTCCGAGCAGGAAAGTCCATGAGACTCTTATTTCCAATTAATCACCAAAAAGCTAGATGTGGAGCTGTGGCTCAAGTGGTAGAGCACTAGCCTTGAGGAAAACAGCTCAGGACTGTGTTCAAGCCTTAAGTTCAAGCCCTAAGCACATGCTTGTATGCACACACACACACACACACACACACACACGCACACTATGAACAGTACCTGTCTCCCAGGGGCTGGAGGTGCTGAATCCTGAGGACTGCGTGGCAGGGGCAGGGAATGTTCCTCCAGTGCTGGGGGAGGGAGCAGGACCTTCCTGGTTACCTTGAGTAACTTCCCACCTAGCGCATACATTTCTTACGCTGCATCTCTGTTCAGCGCCACTGTCTGTGCCATGTCTGCTTGTTAGGAAGTTATCTGAAGTGCACTCTCCCCATTGGTTTATCCCTCTGTGCCTCCCACTCCTCAAGAAAGGATGCTGCAACTTCCCAGCCACAGGAGCGCACGCCTGGGCTGGGCTGGGCTGGGCCCCACCATTCGCAGCTGAATATCCATCTATCTCCAGCCCTTCCAGTTTTCCAGGTCTTCAATGCAACTTGCCAGGGCACCTCCTGCTCCAGGGCATCCTACACCGGAGGGAAAGGCTGGGAGCTGGGGGACCCACCCCCAAATCGCAGGGTTCTCCGGGGTGCCTCCCAGCCACTTGCTCTACCTGTCCTGAAGGATGACTTCTCCCCAGGGGTGCGCAGAGGCAAGCGCATCGCTCCTGCCAGGACCAAACCGCAGGGGATGGCCGGGACCACGGCTAGGAGGCCGCCTCGCCCGCTGCGCTGCGGTGCCCACGCAGCCTGCCCAGCCCCGAGCTCGCTGGGCACGGCCCGACCCACCTGCTGCGGTGCCCGCGGGGCTGGGGCTCCGGCTCCCTGCGCGCTCCAGGCTGCCGGCCTCGCCTCCGCACCTCGCCGCCCGGGTGGTGGCCGACCCGCCCCGAGTTGCTCCACGTGGCCGCTCCACGTCGTCGCTCTCCCAGCCGCCGCCGCCCAGGCCGGGCAGAGTCCCGAGCCGGTGCCAGCCACCGCCCCGCCCGAGCCAGCTACCGGCCTCCCTGTGGTCAGCAGGAGGATGTGTCACCGAGACCAGGACGGAGATAGACTGGAGTGTGTGTGTGTGTGTGTGTGTGTGTGTGAGAGAGAGAGAGAGAGAGAGAGAGACAGACAGACAGACAGACAGAGACAGAGACAGAGAGCTGATGGTGCAGGCCTGAAAATGTGCTTCAAAGCACCTTTTGCTGAGCCCATATATTAAATAAAAGCCATCCTCCCTGCAGTCACTTCACAATGACCTTGGAAGGCAGAAGGGACAGACGGATCCTTAGCATCCTTATGGCAAGGAAGCACAGGCACCTCTCCCTAAGGAACACCAGACCTCCTTCCTCAGGACAGACCACCCACCAGCAACCATGACTTGTTTATTCTGACTAGTGAAGAATGGCCAAAGAGGCCCACTGGAACTCTTCAACCATGCATACATTTCATCCCCTGCCTGGAGTTCCTGTCTATTTAAGCATATCACTCATGTTGTACACCAAGGATGGTCTGAAATGCTATCTTCGCATAGCTGCCTGTGCCATGAAATAAGTCTCCTTATCTCCTTTTTCCTCCCAAAGCTCCTAGAGGAACCCAGAATCTGGCAGAACAAAACCACTTACTTCATGACCCAGAAGAAGAAAAGAAATAGGAGAAAAGAGTGAGGTCTCAGAATCAGCTTAGAGGACATGCTACCAATGACCTAAGGACCTACAACTAGGCCCCATTTCTTCATAGTTCCACCACCTCCCCCAAATGCCAGGCTAGGAACCAAGCCTTTGTCATATGGGCCTTTTGGGACAATTAAGACCAAACTATACTCCTGCAATATCTGTGCAGTTTAGATACCAAGGAGTAACTTATTCTTCTCCTAGAGTCATCAGGAGCATTCAGAACAGAGACAGAAAGAAAATGCCAACAATCTGTAAACCAAGAAACAACTCCTACTAATGAGTATATATTGTCATGTGTTTTTCAGAGCTTGCTTAACAAAGCAAATGTCCAAAGAAGTAAAACTGATAGGGACCTTGTTATATAATCTGTAGTTTTCAAAACAAACCCAGAATTCTCTGAAATTAGCAACAAGTGACTTGGTACAATGCAGCAGCTATTTAAGATCAAACTAGCATGAAGCAAGAACAACTTGGGAAGACGTTGAAATCAGTGAACCTGAGTGAGGACAAAAGAACAAAGCTGGAACCAGGCGCCGATGGTCACGCCTGTAATCCTAGCTACTCAGGAGGCTGAGATCTGAGGATCACGGTTCAAAGCCAGCCTGGGCAGGAAAGTCCCTGAAACTCTTATCTCCAATAAACCACCAGAAAACGGGAAGTAACACTGTAGCTCAAGTGGTAGAGCTCTAGCCTTGAGCTGAAGAACTGAGGGACAGTGTTCAGGCCCAGAGTTCAAGCCCCATGACCGACAAAAAAAAAAAAAAAAAAAACAAAGCTGGGCACCAGTGGCTCATGCCCATAATCCTAGCTACTCTGGAGGCTGAGATTTGAGCATCATGGTTCAAAGCCAGCCCTGGCAGGAAATCTGTGAAACTCTAATCTCCAATTAACTCAATTAACCATCAGAAAACCAGAAGTGGCACTGTGGCTCAAAGTGTAGAGTGTAGCCTTGAGCAAAAAAGCTTAGGGACAGCACCTAGGCCCTGAGATCAAGGTCACTCACCCAAAAATAAAAAGGAACAAAGACCAGAAAGAAACAGTGAACTAATTGACAGTGAGACAGTGAGATTGACAGTCAGAAATGAATCCCCAGACACTTACTCTACTCTCTGTCAGAGGGGGGGGGGGGGGGGGAGGCGGAGATAAAAACTATAGTAGGGCCAGGTGCTGGTGGCTCATGCCTAGATACTCAGGAGGCTGAGATTTGAGAACTGAGGTTCAAAGCCAGCTGGAGCAGAAAAGTCTGTGAGACTCTTATCTCCAATTAACCATAAGAAAACAGGGAGTGGCACTGTGGTTTAAAGTGGAAGAGCACCACCCTTGAGCAAGAAAGCTCAGGGACAGAGACCAGGCCCTGAGTTCAAACACCACAACCTACAAAACAAAACTATAGTAGGTTCTAAGAAAGAAGCAGACTAGAGAGGTCAGTCAGGAGAAGAAAGGTGGATAGATAGAAGGTAGCCATAGACAGGGAGGATATACAAAACCAAAAAAAATGAGGTCTCCAGTCCTGAAAGGGAAAAGTGTTAGCAGAGAGATATGAGGTGACCACAGGAGGAACAGAGGGAAAGCATTATATGGTAAAAATTCCTGACTCACAGGTGACCTAGGGATGGGAATTTCTCAGGGGCAATCTCAGTAAGTATTCAAATCCCAAAAGCTAATGCAGTAATTCTCACTGTAAAGACCCATCCACTTTCAGTCTATTGAAAAATATATTAGTAATAGATACTTATACTATTTTTGCTGAAAGGACTGATTCCTTATATAGACCCACAAACTAAAAGCAGGAGAAAAGCTTGGTATCCCTGCCTCCATTTTGCCCTAAGCCATTCTCACTACAGATACTTTGCAATCACCTGGAGTTCCAAGACAGACAAGACTGATAGATATCTTAATGACCAGGACTGAAACTACTCCTAAGGAACAGTAGAGACTTGTAGAACAGACCACCCCCAAATGAGGAACAATTGCCTATAATCAAGAAGCTGTGTCCTAGAGCAGGAGGAATTTCATAGGAACCATACTGCTCCCCTTAGGTGATGGGAGTGATAATACCTTCTCTGAAATCCTGGAAAACCATAATTGGGATAATGACCAACTGGGATGACCCCAGTTACTGCCACACCTGTAGCTGGGACTTTTAAGTGATGCATACTTTTCTCCCCTTTCTTCCAGTTTTATTTAAATCTATGGGTTCAAGTGGGATGGGGAATAGTGAGGGGAGAGGGTGAGAGTGCTATAGGGAAAGAATGGGAAAGAATGGGTTGGGCTCTGGTGGCTCACGCCTGTAATCCTAAATACTCAGGAGGCTGAGATCTGCGGATCAAGGTTCAAAGCCAGCCCGGGCAGGAAAGTCTGTGAAACTCCTATCTCCAATTAACCACTAGAAAACCAGAAGTAGCACTGTGGGTCAAAATGGTAGAGCACTTGCCTTGAGCTGAAGAGCTCAGGGACAGTATCCAGGCACAGAGTTCAAGTTCCACAACAGACAAAAATAAAATGAATGGTAAAACTGGCTCCCTCTCCTGGTCATGGCTTAGGAGAGCCACATGAGTTTCATCTCTTCCCTAGTACCTCCCATAGCCACACCTAGGGAGTAATTAGTGGTCAGTTTTCAGTCAGGACTTCTCCCTTGGGGGTGGAAAAACTTCTGGCCTGTCCTAACCAAACTGTACCTGCACAGTGGAACCCTTGATGTATCCTTAACCTGACCTTTTCAAAAGGAAATCCCATGTAAGGCTTCAGGCATGTGCATTGCATAGCATACACATACTTAAAACTATGGGATGGCAACCTTGTACATTTGTACACTTGACATTTTCCAAAATTTTGTCGTCACAATCCCTGATTTCCCTAAGATCATCCCACTGTCATTACTGTGAACTCCTCCCACACTCTCCAAACTCTAGAACATGGAAACTTTCTTTTTTTTTGGGGGGGGGGACTTTCTTAACTATGTGTTTGTCCTAGCTCAGGCCCACTGTTTGCCTCAATGATGTACCTTATTAAACTCCTTGTTTTAGCCCAGCATGGGTGGCTCACACCTACAATCTTAGCTACTCAGGAGGCTGAGATCTGAGGATTGTGGTTGGAAGTCAGCCCCAAAAGGAAAGTCCATGATACTCTTGTCTCCAGTTAACCACCAAAAAGCCAGAAGTGGAACTGTGGTACAAGTGGTAGAGCACTAGTCTTGAACAAAAAAAGCTCAGGACAGTGCCCAGGGCCTAAATTCCCAGGACTGGCACAAACAAAACAAAAAAACCCCAAACTCCTCATTTGCCACTTTACTCATGTGTGCACCTTCATTCAGTTCTTTGTTGGACATGCCAAGGATCTGGGATCTTTACCCCTGCGACCACCAGCCAGTAATGTGAGGGTTGAATATAGTCAAAATACTTTATATATGTGTGTTTAAATTGTTGGAGTTTGTTGAGATGGGTTTGGGGAAGGGGGAGGGACACAAGGGAAAGTGACAGAGAGGGTCTGATCAAGGTATATTGTGTGCATATATGGACATATTAGAATGAACTCCCTGTTAACTAATGCTAACAAAATGTGGGAGAAAAGAGTAAAAAATCCCTACTACATATCTATACCTCAAAGCAGTTGAAATGTTATCGTCCCCTGGCATATCCATGCCATGTAGTAAATCTCCTTTCTCTGCCTTTATCATGTCTTTATTTGGCATATGGGGGCGAATGGTCAGATCTGATATTCTACTTTCTGAATTACTCTCTCACCAGATGCAAGGTGGCAGCAGATAGCTGTGCTTACTTGACTCTCCAGTAATGAGATGACTTTGAAACCAGAGTTTGGAGTCATGGAACTGATGGTTCACTTGGTTGTGAAGCTAGAGGAAAGAGCCATGAGTCAAAGCATGTGGCATCTCTCTGGAAGCTGGAAGAGAGATAAGGCAAGACAAACATCCCATGAGCTCCCAGAGGAACTCAGTCCCACTAACAGTGATTTTAGCCAATGAAGACCTTTGTCAGACTTCTGACTTCCAGAGCTACAAAGGAGCAATGATGTGTGTGGTAATAGAGAAGAGGGATATGGAAAAGTCCTTCCCTTTTCCAGCTCTACTCTGGAGTTGGGATTCATTGAGATCATATTCAAATCTCCTCCAGAACATCTGAATTACATACCTTGACCCCTGCATACACTGATACCTGGACTCTTCTCTGGTGTCTGAGCACCAGTAAGATTCTCATTTGCAGTCAAGTTCTAGTGTATTCTTTATTCCTATATCCTAGGGATTTGGGGCTTCTGTACCCAGTTCCTGGTACAGAGAGAGTGAGGAGTGCCTTACCTCTGTACCTTTCCTGTAGGCAGGGGCTGTACAAGACGATGTAGTCACATTGCATGGGTGGCTTTAACCTGGGGGAGGGAGGAGGATGCCACCGTCGTACAGTGGTGGTGAGTGCGTGTGGGTCACTGAATGGGTGCCCAGTGGGTGACAGCGTGGTGACCGAGATTGCTTGATTTAGCCATTGCAAGGGAGAAAGGAGCCAGAAAATGGCCGCCACCAAGATGGCAGCTGCCGGGGGCTGGGACGGGGTACTACCTGTCCTTTAAGCTGCACTGCTTGTAACCCCGTAACCTCAGAGGGAAAGCAGGAAGCAGGGAGGGCGGGAGGGCAGGCGGGCCGAGGCCGTCGGCGAGGCTGGCCGCGGGGTCACTAGGAGAAGATCGCCCGCCCAACGCCGTCTCAGAGGTGGGCGGAGCCGGTCTCGGGGGCGGGACATGCGCAGGCTGGCCAATGACGCGTGAGGGGCGGGCCGCGCCAACCTGGGGTGAAAGAGTCAGAGTTCAAGAGCTGGAGCCGGCCCCAGAGCCTGGGAGCTGGGACCTCTCAACCTGCACAGGATGCTGGCTTTCTCCCTGAGTCCCCAGAGCGGCTCTTGGACCGAGACTTTCTCCCTGCTCTTGCCTCTTGGCGTTGTCCTCTACTTGGGCTACTACTGGGCATGTGTGCCCCAGGTGGGTGTGGGCCCCAGTGCTCTGGCCCTTGGGTTTGAGGTGCATGGGTGTGGGAGACAGCCCCCAGAGAGGGCTCAAGTTCTTTTTGGAAGCTTGGGTGGTTGTGAACCCCTTTCCCTATTATCACCTAATGGAGATAGGGTTCTTTGCCTCCCTAGTTCCTCTACATTGCTCTCTGACAGCTGGGCCAACTGGGTGCTGCCCCCTATAATGTGGAATGACATTTGGAGTCAGGCTAGGGTCAGAGAGATGCATGCTGTTTAAATGGTCTAAGTTTCTCTTTAGCTGCACTGAGTAGTGGAACCTCAGGCTTGTGGGGTTGGAACACCACCTCAGTTTTGCAAGGCCATCAATTTACCAGCCCTGAGGGTAGGCTGGGGTTCCCACCTAGCTCAGAGGAATAAACTTGTTCTTGTGCATCCAGCCTTGTCTTAAGGTCTGTACATGTACTCTACATGAGACCGAGTGACTGATCTTGGTTTTGATCAGTTTGAAGATTTTTCTCACTGAATTTAGATTAAAATATATGTAGAATACATGGTCTACATATTAAGGGAAAGCTTTTTTTTTTGGTCCTGGGGCTTGAACTCAGGGCCTGGGCACGGTCCCTGAGCTTCTGTGGCTGAAAGCTAGCGATTTACCACTTTGAGCACAGTTCCACCTCTGGTTTTCTGGTGATTACTGGAGATGAGAATGTCATGGATTTCCCTGCCCGGGCTGGCTTTGAACTGTGATCCTTGCATCTCAGCCTTCTGAGCAGCTAGGATTACAGGCATGAGCCATCCAGTGCCAGGCTGAAAGCTAAATCATTTGATTTTTAGTAATATCTGTTGTTGAAAATTGAGTCTAGCAAGCCTATTAAAAAGCATCTTAGAAGCCTGGCACTGTGTCACCTGCAATTGTACTTCTAGCTACTTGAGAGACTGAGGCAGCAGAAGAATGGCTTGAGCCCAGGAATTATGAGCTGGCTTGGGCACTATTGTGTTTGTGTGTGTGTGTGTGTGTGTGTGTATGTGTATGCATACGTGCATGTGTACAAGTGTGCATGCCAGTACTGGAGCTTGAACTCAGGACTTCTCACTCAAAGCTGGTACTCTGTCACTTCAGCCATACCTTCCAAGATAACTGTCTTTTAAAAATAAATGGTTTAGGGGCTGGGAAGGTGACTCAGTGGTAGAGTGCTTGCCTTGCATGCATGAGGCCCTGGGTTTGATTCCTCAGCACCACATAAGCAGAAAAAGCCAGAAGTAGCACTGTGGCTCAAGTAGTAGAGTGCTAGCCTTGAGCTGAAGAGCTGAGGGACAGCGCCCAGGCCCAGAGTTTAGGCCCCAGGCCAGACAAAACATAAATAAATGGTTTAGCTGGGCACTGGTGGCTCACACCTATAATTCTAGCTACTCAGGAGGCTAAGGATCAGAGTTCAAAGCCAGTGCAGACAAGAAAGTCTGTGAGACTCTTTTCTCCAATTATCCACCAAAAAAGCTAGAGGTGGAGTTGTGGCTCAAGTGATAGAGTGCTAACTTTGAGCAAAAAAAAACTCACGGACAGCTCCCAGGCCCTGAGTTCAAGCCCCAGGACTGGAACTCACACACAAAAGAAAATAGTTTGGGCATAGCTCAGTGGTAAAGCTTGATGTTTTTGTTTTGGTATTATTGGGAATTGAACTCAAGACTGCATGCTTCACAGGGCAGGTATTCTACCACTTGAGCCATGCTCCCAGCCCTGAGCATGTATTTAGCATGCAAAAAGCCCTGGGTTCAATTTTGAACACCATAAATATTTGTTAAAAATTATATAGAAGTGGTTGTACAGAGGGATTACCATTCACCATGTTAAAATTAAAACATTAAAGACCTATGGGAGATTTTATATTATTTAGACTTTAAAAAATATTTTCAGGGGCTGAGAAGGTGGCTCAGTGGTAGAGCGCTTGCCTTGCATGCTTGAGGCCCTGGGTTTGATTCCTCAGCACCACATAAGCAGAAAAAGCCAGAAGTGGCGCTGAAGCTTAAGTGGTAGAGTGCTAGCCTTGAGCTGAAGAGCTGAGGGACAGTGCCCAGGCCTAGAGTTCAGGCCCCACGACTGACCCCCCCCAAAATTTTTTTCCCCAGAACTTTCTACATTAGTATGCATTGCTTATAAAGTAAGTAAAAAGAGCTGGGTGCTGATGGCCCATACCTGTAATCCTCGCTACTCAGGAGGTTGAGATCTGAGGATTGCAGTTCAAAGCCAGCCCTGCCAGGAAAGTCCATGAGACTCTTTTTCTCCAATTTAGCACCAAAAAAAAAAAGAGTGGAGTTGTGGTTCAAGTGGTAGACACTAGTCTTGAGCAAAAAAGCTCAGGGACAAGCCCCATGACCAGCAAAAAAAATTTAAAAATTGCCGGGCACCGATGGCTCTCACCTGTAATTCTAGCTACTCAGGAGGCTGAGATCTGAGGATCTCGGTTCAAAGCCAGCCCGGGCAGGAAAGTCTGTGAAACTCTTATCTCCAATAAACACTCAGAAAACCGGAAGTGGCACTGTAGCTCAAGTGGTTGAGTGCTAGCCTTGAGCTGAAGAGCTGAGGGACAGCGCCCAGGCCCAGAGTTCAAGCCCCATGACCAATGAAAAAAATAAATAAAAATTAAAAAGTAAAGGGTTAGAGGTTTAGCTCAATGATAGAATGTATACACCACATGTATGAGGTTCTGGGTTCAATCCCCACCCCTAGTAATATAGCAACAATAATAAAATAACATCTTCCTTAAAACAATGGAAAAAGCCCAAATCTAACAATACTCTGTAAGCCTTACTTCATACATCAAATTTGGAAAGTCAGTTCAGAGTGGACCATTTTCCTTGCTTGTAACCAATCAGAGAAAAGTCAAAGCCTTTGCCACTTTATACTCTAAGCACGGCTCCCTTTGCTGGTCCCAGGGCTTGAACTCAGGTTCTAGACACTGTCCTTGAGCTTCTTTTTTTGTTGTTGTTGTTGATCATGGGGTTTGAACTCTAGCTTGGACACTGTCCCTGTGCTCTTCAGCTCAAGGTGAGTGCTCTACTGTTTAAGCCACAGTGCCACTTCCGGTTTTCTATTGGTTTATTGGAGATAAGAATCTCACGGAGTTTCCTGCCCTGGCTGGCTTTGAACCATGATCCTCAGATCTCAGCCTCCTGAGAAGCTAGAATTACAGGTGTGAGCCACTGATGCCTGGCTCCCTGAACTTCTTTTACCTAAGGCTAGTGCTCTACCACTTGAGCCACAGTGCCACTTCCATTTTTTCCTGAGTAGTTTATTGGAGATAAGAGCCTCACAGACTTTCCAGCCCAGGCTAGCTTTGAACCATGATCCTCAGATCTCAGTCTCTGAGTAGCTAGGATTACAGTATGAGCCACTGGTGGGTGTCCAACTCCCTAAATCCTTTCTTGACTTCCAAATACTAATCAAAATGCAAGAGAAGTCCCAAGGATTAATATGATTTGTCTCCAGGCAGTGGCATATTATTAATTCTTAGGCTTGAGTCAAGAAGCACTTTGCTAGAGTTATTGGCCTGCTCTACATAACTGAGCTCTTTGATCAAGGTCTTGATAAATTGGTAGCAACTCAAATTCTTGGCTATTCGGAGGTGATATATGAAGTGTCTAAATGGCATAGTTCAAGAGGAAGAAGACCTGGGTTTGGATCCCCTGGTTTGTAAAAGTAGCTGTGGCAAGCTTTGTGATTTTTCAAGTAATTTGATGTTTAAATCTATTCACACAGAGGGACCTATCTCATAGAACTTACCACTGAAAGGTAAAATCATGGAAATGGTTTTGTACAATGTTTAGACCATACTGAGTATATAACAAATTTTATTTATAAGTATTGGTGTGATATCTTGTTTTGCTTTGCCTCTTGGTTGCTGTGTACCTTTGAGCAAACCAATTTATTTCTAGATTTTTTTTTTTTTTTTGGCCAGTCCTGGGGCTTGAACTCAGGGCCTGAGCTCTGTCCCTGAGCTTCTTTTGCTCAAAGCTAGCACTTTACCACTTGAGCCACAGGGCTACTTCCAGCTTTTTCTGTTTATGTGGTACTGAAGAATTGAACCCAGGGCTTCATGCATGCCAGGCAAGCACGCTACCACTAAGCCACATTCCCAGCCCCCATAATTTTTTTCTTTTTCTTTTGAATTGTGAAAATACTGTACAGAGGGGTTACAATTACATGGGCAAGCATTGTTACCTCCTCCTTTGTTTCCCCTTCCCATCCCTTCCCATCTCCCCCGCCCCCACCCCAATAATTTCTTTTCTTTTTTTGGTCAGTCATAGTGCTTGAACTCTGGGCTTGGGTGCTGTCCCTGAGCTCTTCTTCAGCTCAAGCAAGACTAGTGCTCTATCACTTGAGCCACAGTGCCACTTCTGGTTTTCTGAGTGGTTAACTGGAGATAAGAGTCTCATGGACTTTCTTGCCCGGGCTGGCTTTGACCTGTGATTCTCAGATCTCAGCCTCCTGAGTAGCTAGGATTACAGGTGTGAGCCACTGGCACCCAGCTCTATAATTTATTTATGGCTTATCTCATATAGTTGAGGTTAGTCTAGTGCCTGCATAGAGCATACAATGATTCATTGAAGTAATAGGGTCTGAGTGCCAAGTCACTTCTCAACAGTCACACAACTTGACCCCTCAAGTTTATCCTTTGCCCAGTCTTTTGAAGATTGGGACTTTAAAGAAAGAGGAAACTAAACCTTAAGTTTCTTCAAAATGCTTTTTTTGGGGGGGGGGTGTGTTGTTGGGGACAGGACCTGTACTATGGTAATCTAGTGATTTTTTTTTTTAATTTTACTGTAATCCTAATTTACCTGTAATCCTAGCTACTTAGGAGGCTGAGATCTGAGGATTGGGGTTCAAAGCCAGCCCGGGTAGGAAAGTCCGTGAGACTCTTACCTCCAATAAACCACCAGAAAACTGGAAGTAGCACTGTGGCTCAAGTGGTAGAGTGCTAGCCTTGAGCTGAAGAGCTGAGGGACAGAGCCCAGGTCCAGAGTTCAAGCCCCATGACCCCCCACCCACCCACCAAAAAAAAATTGACAATCATGGGGCTTGAACTCAGGGCCTGAGCACTCTCCCTGAGCTTTTCCACTCAAGGTTAGCACTCTACCATATTGAGCCACAGTGCCACTTCCAATTTTCTGGTAATTAAATGGACTTTCCTGCCCCGGTTGGCTTCAAATTGTGATCCTCAGATCTCAGCCTCTTGAGTAGCTAGGATTATAGGTGTGAGCCACCAGCCAGTGGATCTTTGGCTCAAAGTGGTAGAGCACTAGCCTTAAGGGAAAAGAGCTCAAGGACAGTGTCCAGGTTCTGAGTTCAAGCCCCATGAGTGACTAAAAAAAAAAAAACCCCAAACTTATTGTAATGCAAGCTACCTCCCCAGCCTCACTCTGTTAGTGAGGAGTCATTTTGACTTTGTTCTGAGTACTCCTCCTTACTAATCCTCCCATGTGGCCTGGCCCTTATTTACTTTATGACGGGCCAGAAGCAAGCAAAGAAGTGGTCATCTGACCTCATGTTAATCCCATCACTGTTGCCTTTCCCCTGGATGACAAAAAGGAGCATCTGTTCACATTAGGATCATTCCTCCTGCAGAGTAAGGTCTAACAGCAGTGACTCTACAAGTAAGAGAAAATGAGGTGTCCTGGTAGAAAGAAGCCCTTCACTAGTGAACACACACATTAAGGAACAATAAGACCAAAGGAGGATATTCCTAGGGAAGGACCACAAAGGCTCAACGCCTACGTGCTTTTTTTTTTTTTGTTCCTCTTGTTTGACTTATCTGTCTTTGGGAGGATAAAGGGGAGTGCAGAAACGGAGTGACAGAGGGAGAACAAATGCAGCCATGGTACTCACTGGACACTAAGTTGAAAATGAACTATGTAACCTGTGGGTGGGGACGGGAGGGAAAAACAGTGAGGGAAGGGGTGACATTGTCCAAAAAGAAATATACTCTTTATCTCACTTATTTAACTTTAACCTCTCTGTGCAGCACCTCTACAATAACAATAAAACATTTTAAAAGAATGTACAGACAATGAGGTGCTAAAACTGGGAGAAGCCAACTGGCCAGAGCAAGCCTCAGGAAGATGACTGGGTTATTCAGGCATAAGGCAAAGGTTAGATAAAATGGTGTGGAAATGAACAAACCCTAGTACAGGCAATCAGCTGGGCAGTTTATGTTACATTTCTGGCTCTTAAAGGTTCTCCCCCAGGTGGGGTTGAGGTGCAGATAGGCTGAGCTTGGGAGTTAGTACTGTCAGCAGCTGTGGGTTCAGTTCTGGAGAAGTGACACTTCTTTGGGGCACTAGTCGATTTTATTATCTGAGGTGCTGGATGCTCACCTTGACAAAGCAGTGTCTTCCAGGCTAGCGTCTGGGGAGTCACTCACCTTCTGGTGTGGGCATCTCTAGCCTGGACCCCACCAGGGCAGTGAAGCAGATTGTGCATTGTGATTACAGAGGCCTCGCTTGGTTGCTGGGCCCCAGTTTCTGGCCTTCCTGGAGCAATACTGTCCTATCACTGTGAAGACTTTCTACCCTACGCTTTGGTGTTTTGAGGGACGGCTACAAACTATCTTTCGAGTCTTCATGCAGCCAAAACGCCGAGTTCCTTATCAGAGGTAAGAGACAGAACAAGGTCAACACGAAGTTGTAAGTATCTCAGGAACACTAATCTACCTGTTTAAAATGAAGGTAATCAGCCAAATGCCACTGGCTCATGCCTGTAATCCCAGCTATTCAGGGAGCTGAGATCTGAGGGTCATGGTTCAAAACTAGCCTAGGCAGGAAAGCCTGTGACTCTTATCTCCAATTAACCAGCAAAAAGCCAGGACTGGCTCAAGTGGTAGAACGCCAGCTTTGAGTGACAAAGCTAAGGAAGGGACAGCATTCAAGCCCTGAGTTTAAGACCCCAGTACTGGCACATGCGTGCACGCATATGCGCATACACACTGGTAATCTTTGCCCCATTTACCTGTGATTTTTAGGGCACAGAGATAATATTCAATCTCTCCCCAATCTACTTCAGCCAGCTATATATTTGAACATAAAGTAGGCCTTCCAATGATACCTATAGCAAACTGTGGGACTTGTTTGTGGGTAGGTGGGAGATGAACACTTGTAATCAAATTCCTAATACCAGCTGTATGTCTCTCTCTCCTAAACCCCAGTGAAGTTATCCAAACCCCAGATGGAGGCCAGTTCCTGCTCGACTGGGCTGAGCAGCCTAATAGTGGCCACTCCTCTGACCCTACCAGCCAGCCCATAGTGTTGCTACTTCCAGGCATCAGTGGCAGTAGCCAGGAGTCCTACATCTTGTACCTGGTTGACCAAGCCTTGAGGGATGGCTACAGGTAAGGATGAGCACAGCCCAGGGGTGAGGGTGGCTGAGAACCTGTAGTGGGAGAAGGCAGTTTGACCCTCACACTAGAGTCTCTGAAAGTCTGAGAACTACCAGAAAGGGAGGGGCTGGCTGGGAAGGGCCTGACTTACACACCTGTGTGCACCCCAGGGCCGTCGTATTTAATAACCGAGGCAGCAGAGGGGAAGAACTGCTGGTGAGTAGTACCCTCCTTTGTCATGGTGGCCCTGTCCCCAGTTCCTTTAGAGATCTTTGGCCATGGGGCTCTGTCTACCTTCATACTGTTCTTCCCTTCCCCACTTCTGAGTCCTTCCATTTTGCTACCTCTGGCAAGAACCTCCCTCCCTGTCCAATGATCCTGTTTGCCCTCAGACCCACAGGGCTTATTGTGCCAGCAACACTGAAGATCTAGAGACAGCTGTGAACCACATAAAGTGCCGCTATGCCCAAGCTCCACTACTGGCTGTGGGCATCTCTTTTGGAGGGTAATGGTTACCTTGCTTAACCCAAGGGTCCAGTCTTTCTTCCCTCCTCCATGTCCCTGCCTTTTCTTCTGCCCCAGAACACTCAGGCAAACCACTCTTTATGGCCCTTTGCCAAATCCTACAGTATATTGGTGCTGAACTACCTGGCACGAACTGGGAAGGCTGGCAGGCTGGTGGCAGGACTGACTCTGTCTGCATGCTGGGATTCCTTTGAGACTGTGCGCTCGCTGGAGACCCCCCTCAACTCATTACTCTTCAATCAGCCCCTCACGGCAGGGCTCTGCCAGCTTGTGGACAGGTAGAGGGGCTCTGGACACGTGGAGGGGACAAAAGACGGGCTAGGATAGCAAGTGTACCAGGCCCTTTCAGTATTTGGGTCAGTTCTAATCTGGGCTTTCTCACATAAGAGAGGAAGACAGAGGCTGCAGGTTTTGGGTCAGATGCAAGAAGCATCAAGACAAACTGATGTACTCTTTTCAGAAACAGAAAGACGATTGAAAAGGTGTTGGATGTAGACTTCGTGGTAAAGGTATATTTCACCCCCACCCCCACTGGTCCAATATTCGTCCGCTGTCTTCCTATCCTCTGTTATCTTAGCCTATCCTGCCTCTACCATGCAGGCCCGCACAATTCGCCAGCTTGATGAGCGCTACACAGCTGTGGCCTTTGGGTATAAAGACTGTGATGACTATTACCAAGCATCGAGCCCAAGAGCCAAAGTAGATGCCATCCAGATGCCCGTGCTCTGCCTCAATGCGGCAGATGACCCCTTCTCCCCAGCCCATGGTGAGTAGCCTGAGTCAGGAAGCCATGGGCCTGGGAAAGTGGACTGTAAGGTGCAAGTGGACAGCATATGGGTTCTCATTAAAGGCCAAGTTTCTGACCTCCTCTGAACCCCTCCTAGCTTTTCCTCTGCAGGCCATCCAGCGTTCTCCCAATGTCGCATTGCTTGTCACAGCTCGCGGTGGCCACATTGGCTTCCTGGAAGGACTGCTACCCTGGCAGCACTGCTACATGAGCCGCCTCCTGCATCAGTATGCCAGAGCCATCTTCCAGCACCCGGCAGAGCTGCTGGACCTCAGGGCACACTCGTCTAAAAATGGAAAGAGCTGACAAGAGAGAGCCATTTGGGGTCTCAGTTCACTCTTCCCTTGTTTATTAAATATCAATTCTTCCTGCCTAATGAGCTGAGGTTCATTTCCCTTTCCTCAAGTCTGGAGTAGACCATCCAGGAACTCATTGTGTATTTAAACTGGCTGGTTTGTTGTTACCTGCCTGAACCCATACAACACCACTCCCGAGTTTTCTTTTTGCCCCTTCTCACCCTAACAGGAATGACTAGGCAAAAGCCAGGGGCTTCGTGTGAAGGCTGTTGAGGGGTGGAGGAGTTTTTGTAGGAAAGATGGCAGTGCCTCCAAGCTCTTAGGCACCTTCACATGTTTCTGGAGAAGGACAAACTCAACTCTGAAGCCTCCACTAGGCAGAGGACAGAGGCAGGTAGGATAGCCTGGACTTCAGACACCTCTGTCCTGGGTGGATCCACAGGAATTGAATGCAGGGCTCTGGGGACCCACAGTCACACAGGGCTACAGCAATATTTAACTGAGAAGGACAAGGAGCGCCCATCAGTCTCAGCTATGGACTCAAATAGATGGAGCACTGTGAGTCCAGGCCCGCATTGCGCTCTAGAAAGTAGCGGTGTCCAGGCCCCCAAGTCCCAGGGGGAAGGGAGGTCACAGGAAGCCTGGAAAGGCACTCTGGAGCAGCAGGATGGTGACAACAATAAGTCCAGCACACAGCAGGAGCAGCAGCCACACAGGAACACTCCCTGAGAGTAGGGAAGGGAAGAAGTGAGTGGAAGGAGGGACTTTACAACCTGAAAACCAAGATCCTCAACCTGTTTCATTCAGGGAGGAGGCAGATAGATGGTCATGAACAAGCACTTCGTTCTACAGGGGACTGGTTTTTGCTACAGCTAAATGTGGGGTGATACCCTCCACCCCAATGACTCACGCCGTGAGGGTAGCAGGTGCAGTTGGCAACGACTGTCCACAGCCACAGAGAAAAGGGCAGTTTCATGGGACCCAAGCAGCTCTGGACCACGACCCTTCTCAGGTAGAAAGGCCACGTCGGTCACCACGATGCCATGGGCCTCTCTCACGTAATAGAGGCGCTGGGGGCAGAAGAAAACTAGTGAGGGAATTTGTTGAAACTTCCTTCTGGAAATGTACTCCCCACCCCCAGTGGGCTTCCCTGAGTTCAGACTCTTTTCTACACACAGAGTAGAACAGGCCTGCAGCCCTCCCACACGCTGTGCGACTCTGCCCATTACCTGAAGAGAGAAAGCGATGTAAATGGCAACAGAGCCAGTGACAGTGCCCAGGCCTAGGAAGGTACCCGATTCACTGCAACGAACAACAGAGTACACCTTGTTCCGGAGGCCTGGGCAGAGACCCTTACTCACCAGAGACAGGCAGGCCTCCTTCCTTGAGCCCCCCAGCACCCTCTACCCAGCCAAGCCAGCACTGTCTCACACCTGACACTCAGGCAGGAGATGACTTCATGGCCACAGGACCTGGTCCGAAGGGGCAAGTAGGTGGAGCCTTCCCAGGCTGTGAGGTAGCAGGGCGGGGGCTGGCGCAGGCGCTTGTGGGGGATTTGCACTGTGAAGAGTCTCAGTCCACCAGGCTGGTCTGGAACCTGCCCAAACCTGGGGGCCAGGCAAGGAGCTGTTCAGCCTTCATGAATGGTTTGTGCCCTCCTATATCCTGGTCAGGCATGGGGCAACGGGACAAGGCCACAATCCTCCCCAGTACCCCCCATCTCTTCACACTAACATCCCCCCCTCAACCCATCCCCACTGGCTGGAGCCTATTTCAGCCACCTTCCCAGGCCTTCACACCTGCAGGCCTGGTAGCGGTAAGGTGTCTCAGAAAAAGTGGGTCCATTTTCTTGCCAGTGCAACTGTGTTACTAGTTGATCCTTCTGCCACACAGAGGCCTTAAAGTCCCAGCCCACGGTCACCAACTAGTCAGGAATAAAAAATTTAAAAATAGGCAGTTAGGGCATCTTCTTATTTTACAAGCAGCGTAAATACCCCCTCTTTCCTGCACCTCCCCCTTCTTATACCTCCCCATCTCCTTACCTTGCCATCAGGCCCAAGAGCCAAGTCTTCAATTTCCCCTTCATGGGCTTTGAACTCCAGAACTTTCTCCAGGCTGGGTACCTGCAGCCAAGCTACCATCATGGTTAGGCCAGGTATATAGTAAGAGTAACCCAATCCCTTGTTTCTTCATTAGGCCACTCACAAGTCTGGCAGAACTCACGTTAAGATTCTCACAATTCTGATCTTTTTTTTTTTTTTTTTGCGACTAACACACATCTTCCCCAATCCTGGAACACCATACCTTCCAGACACGAATGTGGCCATCTGTCCCTCCAGTAGCAAGCAGAGTATTATCGTGATTGAAGCACACAACTTTCTGCAGCGGATCAGGGCTGAAGTCTGTCCTCACTGCCTGCAGATTCTCTACCTTGAGTTCTATGCCTTCATGCTTGTTTTCAGCTCCAGATTTCTTCTCTTCTGGGGCTGCCCCCTTCCTCTGTCGAGGCCCCTGCTCCTTAGAACCTGCAACACAAACACCTTCCCAGGATCTAGGCATCTATCTTATACAGGACCCTCTTTATATAACAGGTGATATACAGCCTCTAGCTGCTACTATGAGACCACCCCACCTTTATATGGTGGGGACGGAGTACTGGGATTGACTGACTCAAGGCCTGAAGCTTGCTGGGCAGGTGCTCTATTCCTTGACCCATATCCATAGTCCTTTTTGGCTATAGTTACTTTTTTAGATAGGGTCTCTGGTTTAACTTAGGGCCTGCCTCAGTGATCCTTCTACCTATATGCCTCCTGTGAAGCTGGAATGACAGGTGTGTAACTCCATGCCCAGCTTCTTGGCTGAGATGAGGTCTTGCTAACATTTTGCTCTGGCTGGCCTCCAAAACTATATTCCCCATCTCTGCCTCCTGAGTTGTCATTACACAGTGGTGTGCCACCAGTCCCGATTTTTTTAGAGATGGAGAAGGATCTTAGTCAGTTAATCCTTTCTCAAAGCTTACCTGCTTTCTCTGCCTTCTTGCCCTTCTGCTGGTGGGTCTGGAAGCGTAGGAGTTGACAGTGGGCATCTTGTCCTGCAGCAAGGATGTCACCTGCCAGTGCCAAGTTCATGGTAGCTCGCGTCTCGGTGTCATGGGAGTGCAGCAAGGAGGCGCTCAGGCGCCCATTAATCCGCTCTAGCTGCAGAAAGTGCTATGAGAGAGAGAGCCAGGACGGGCAAAGTTCAGAAGTGCCTGGAAGGCAGGTAAGGCAAACTCACCTCCTAGCCTGATGCCCTCCTCCTCCTTTGCTTCCTGCACCATGCAGGTCACGGATCCCCATCTCTTATTTGGGTCTCCCCAAGCTGTACAGCAAGCAGGACTGGGATTCCAGTCTCCAGTTTACAGAACTACAAGATGAAACTGAGGAATGGAGAAGGAACCCTAGCCATGGGTACCACCTGCGCGGCTGGAGGGCAGATGAGGTTCCCCGACACGGGGAACTCCAACCCCGGGGCTACTCCTGGGGTCGAGCTCAGTCTTCCTGCCCAGGCAGCGGGCGGCGGCTTTCACTCCACCTCAAGAGTCTCTCAGCGGCCCGCTGAGTAAGTTCTCGGCCGAAATCCGCACCGGGACGCGCGGCATGCCGGGTTTCCCCGCCAGAAACAGCAGGACCCAAAGCACGCAGCCGGGGTCCGAGCCTGGACCCCCCGTGTGACCCGGCCCGGGAGCCCAGCGCTCTCACCACGCCGTTCTTTATGCCGGTCTTGGCGGCGCCTCCTCCGCCCGCGGCGATGAGCAGCCCCGCGCCGGGGTCGATCCGCAGCGCGTACAACGGGAACGGGGCCCGGTACAGCTCCAGAGCCCGGCGCCGGTCCATCTTGCGCGCCGCGCGTCCACTGCCGACCCCACGGCGCTCACGACATGCCGCGCCCGGCCTTTGACCTCGGCCCCTGCCGCTGCTGAACGGGGCCGCGTCGCCGCCAGGAGCGCTCCCGACCCTCTTTCCACACCCGCGGGCCGGGTCACCACCGAACCACCGCTGGTCTCTGCGGCTCAGCGCGGGGAAGTCCGACTCCGGCGCGCAGGCGCGCAGTGCGCAGGCGCCCCGGCCCGCGGCTCTCTGCGCAGGCGCAGGCGGCTGGTACGCGTCAGCACTAAGCCGGCCGTGGGATTGCGGAACTCGGCGTAGATCCGGTTCTCCGTCCTCCCGAGCTCGCCATCTTTGTGCGGGGCATGGGAGGCCGGGAGGCGGGCGGAGCAGGTTTTAGTAAATCCTGGGCAGACGCAGGTCCGTAAAAATTCAAGGCGAGACCCTTCTTTAAAAAAAAAAAAAAAGCCGGGCGCTGGTGGCTCAGGTTTGTAATCCTAGCTATTCAAGAAGCTGAGATGTGAAGGATGGAGGTGTTCGAAGCCAGCCCGGGCAGGAAAGTCCCTGAGACTCTTGATCACCAGTTAACCACCGAAAAGCTGGAAATGGAGCTGTGAGCGAAGAGCTAGCCTTAAGCACAAAAGCTCCGTGACAGCGCCCAGGACCCCTCAGTTCCAGCCCCAGGACCAGTGTGTAATACCACCACCCCCCTTTTCGAATCAGGACCGTTTGCACCTGGATACACGTTTATATTTTACTCCAGAGAGGAAGTGATTCGTCCCAAGGCACCATGGCCTTCAAACCTGGCATCAAATCCGAGTCATTGTTTTCTAGTGGCAGGAAACCATTCACTATTCTCCACAGCATCTTTGCTCCATTCTCTTCTTGCTGCTCACAAAGACTTCTGCCACCATGGCTGTTCCCTTCCGACTGCGCCCTGGGAAGGGGTCTTAAGTGCGTGGCACCCCACACTCCCCCCCTTCTTAAAAAAAAAGTGATATACAGCAGGGTTACAGTTACATAAGTTAGGTAATGAGTACATTTCTTTATGGACAATGTCACCCCTTCCCTCAGTCTCCCAGTTTTTTTCCCTCCAGTCCCACCCCACTCTTCTGAAGACGCCCTGGGGCTTCAGTGTGAGGATCCCTTGCTAGAAGTGCACGTCCCCCGCAAGGAGCATGCGCACCTGGGCCGTGTGGCCTCCCAGTGCCCCCCCAAGAGGCATGCGCGCATGAGCGCAGTGGCTTCATCGTTGGAGGTTGCTGCGTGTCTGGTCAACAGGGTTGAATTAAACATGAAGGGCCTGGCTGAGTCCTCTGTGCTTCTCAAGTTCTAGTGGACTATGGATCCTTTGCCTTCCTGGGATACAGGATACCTGTTGTTCTTGACCCCTTCGTTTTGTCAGCCCTCCCTGTTGGGGCCTAGCACCACTGTGTGGGCGCAGCAGTACAGAGACACACGTTTCTCCGGATAGGGCTTTATTGGATACATTGAAGGCCGACTAGGGCCTTGGGAGCCTAGGTCCTCTCTTCAGCCAGGAGAGAGGAGACTCCACAAGGGGTTCCCAGGATTCAGAGCAGGAGAAGACACTTGACCTCCGGCCAGCCAGCCCTTCAAGGTGTCTCGGGGACTCTCGGAAATCTGGGGCGGCCTAGCCGGGAAGGTGGAGTTGGGAGGGTGTGCTCTCGGGCGCCTTCGTGGTTCTGGATTTAGGATGGCGATTTTCGGAGAATAGGCTCTGGAGAGGCAGGCCTCTTTGGGGTAGGAGAAGCCCTGGGCCTCGGGGAGGCAGAGGCTTGTTTTGGTGCCGGAAGCGGAGGCCGGGAATGTGGGGTGGAGGTTGGTGATTGGAAGCCTGCAGACCTGAGACTCCCGGCCTGGGAGGGTGAGCCTGGGGCCGGAGTTGATGGCGCCTGGGTAGCTGCTGCTGGACCTCCCGGGGCCTGCGCGGCCTCGCCCCGACGCCCTGCCTTCGGCCTTCTTTCCGGCACCAGATGCAAGGCCCTGGCCTGGCCCCGAGCCAGACGGAGGCCGAAGCCGATTCCTATGCGGACAGGCGCAGACTCCTGGCCCTGTGCACAGGGCAGTAGTTGGGGGAATGCAAGCAGGCGGGGTCCAGTCTTGTACTCGGGAGTGGGGCAAGAGGAGCTGCGGGGCCGGAGACACACCAGACATATGGGATACTCCACGACTGGCGCCTTGCCGGTTGTGCCTAACAACAGGCGCTGCAGAAGCAGAAGCCGCAGGTCCTGGGCGACGCGGCGGTGTCCCAGATGGCCCGCCAGGGCCAGGGCCAGGGCCCCTGGGTCCCTGAACTCCGCAGGGTCCCTCTCGCTTGCCACGCATCCCCCCGCCGCTCCAGGGGATCCGGTGTCTCTGCATGGAGGCCACCGCCATGTCTGTCTGTTAGCGTGGTCCCCTGGAGACGGAAGGCTGGGGCTGGGGGACGGGAAGGTGGTGGAGCTGGGGAGGTCCGGGGGACCGCGGGAGGGAGACTGGCAGCGAGAGTGGGGGGAGGTGGGGTCGGTGGGGGGAGAAGAGAGGTACAGCGGGTGGTTGGAGGGAGAGGAGGACCAGGGAGGGGAGAGAGAGGTATAGTTCTGGTGAAAATAAAGGGGAGAACTTGGGAGAGAGGACTTGGAGCAGTGGGGTGGAGCAACGTTAGAATTTGATTCCAAAGACAAGAAAAGGGGGCCTGGTGAGTGGGGCCTAGGAGGAGGGGAGGTGGGAGACTTGGGGGAAGAGAAAGGAGGATAGGAAGTGGGGAGGAACTGCTTGGGAGGAAGAGTTGGTGGGTTGGATGGGAGGGAGTCCACAAATCGTGAGGGGCTCTGAGGGGGGCACCCGGGGGGCACTGCTTTCTGTAGCAGCGCCTGTTCCTTGTTTTGAGGCAACATTGCCTTGAATCCAGAAGAGACTGGGGTGGGACACGACCCGACCAGGATTAGAGACCTAGCACAGTCGGAGATCCGAGGCCAGCTGTGGCTGAGAATCGGGGCTGCCTTCTATGTGCAGTATGGGTGGGGGTCTGATGTTGCAAAGGGCATTAACTACTGCCAAGGAGACAGCCAGTCCTCTAGACACCCAGCTCTGGTTCTAAGCTTCTTCACTGCCAGCCATTGGTGAGGGATATATGGGGATGGAAATCAGAGCTGTCTTGTGAATTGAAGGGCAGCAGCAACTGTAAGTGAGGCCAGGAAGCAAACACGCCCATAGAACCTGTAGAGAAAGAGACAAAGGCCAAGACTTCAAGAGGACTGGTTTCTGGGCTTTCTCTGCTTTGGATGCCCAATTTCCAAGCTGAACTCTAAGACTTTATCTTTGCCACCCTTGGGTCTGAATGCTCCAGAGAATGTAAAAAGTGGGGAGAAGAGGAGAGGAGATGGAGACAGGTGGGAATGAAGGGAGGGTGCTCTGGTACTGTGAATTCTTAACCAAGGAGGCTTTCTCTCCACTGTGTTACACAGGCGCTTCAGCAAAGAGAACACCTTGGGAGGGGGAGGAGGAGAAAGAGAGAGAGAGAGAGACAGACAGACAGACAGACAGACAGACAGACAGACAGAGAGAAATGGAGTCACAGAGCAGTGAGTAGAACATACCTCCTCTGCCCCCTGCATCTCTCACCCCAAACTCACTCTGATCCAGAATTTAGTCTGAGCGCTGCCCTCTAGCTTTTCCTTCTAGCCAGGCCGAGTCTTCTGTGGGACAGGGTTGTGCCTTCTAATCCTCCTGCAGGGATTTGGCAAACATCCTGGTTTTCTGCCACACTGATTCCCCTGAACTCTCGTCTCTCCAAATACTGGTGTTCTTTGCTTCAGCCTGGTCCTGGCTGAGATGGCTTATCACACCCAACAGCAGCAACTGCTCCAGCTGGTAAAAGGCTCTGGGAGACTGGGACTCTAAGGGGCGGCGTTGCCGCCCCCAGTGGGAGCTGAGGGCCTGTTCCCTGAAGGCAGTTCGTAGCAATCCAGTCTGTGTCATAAAGATCGATGCTGACATCATAGAATCTCTTCTTCAAGGCTCTGGGCCCGTCTTTCCCAGATCAGCCAAAGGCTGACCCTTGACAAAACTGTGAAGCAGGCAAAATTATTGGGCACACCATTTAAGGGCCCAGTCCTTATCTTTTTGTTTTTTCTGTTTTTGTCCTGTCCTGGGGCTTGAACTCAGGTCCTGGGTTCTGTCCCTGAGTTTTTTCACTCAAGTGCTCTACCACTTTGAGCCACAGTACCACCCCCAGTTGGAGATGAGTTTCTAGGACTTTCCTGCCCTGCCCAGCCCACCCCCCATTTTTACAGCTCTCACATTTAATCCATCCATAGTGCTCACCAACCATAGAGCCTATCTGAGCCAAGCTTCCTTTTAACTTCTTCGCTTTCCTAGGAGAGGCTCCAGCTCCACACTTGTTCTTCTCTTGGGATGTATTTATAGGTTTTAATAGCTGATAACACCTTTCTTCAGATACAGTTTACATAGCACCCAGTCTCCCTATTTAGCATGTTTAATTCAATGTGTTTTACTCTAGTCACAGGATTTTATAGTCATCTCTACAACCTAATTTTAGGACATTTTTCAAGGGCAGGTACTGGGATTTGAACTTCTTGAGCTTACTCTTATTTGCTTGCTAGGGTGACTATCACTTGAGTCTTGCCTCCAACCCTGCTCTTTGCTGGGTTATTTTAGAGACTAAGTCTTATTTCCTGTTTAGACTGGCTTTAAACCACTATCCTCCAGAACTCAGCCTCCTGAGTAGCTGGGTTTACAGATGTGAGCCACCAGCACCAGTAATTTCAGAACATTTTTGTGATCCTCCCCTCCCCCCCCATGAAATCCTTTATTAGTCACCATTCTTAATTCCCCTTAAACCCTGGAAACCACAAGTCTCTTTGTTTCAATGGAGTTACATGTTCTACACGTATAAATGGACTTTAGTCCCTAACTTCTTTCATTTTGAATGTTAAAAAGATTTCTGTTGGATTGCATGTGATTACTTCAGCTCTCTTTATTTTTTTGCCAAATAATAATCCTCTTTATGGATAGACTGCATTTTAATGATCTATTCCTTAATTGACAGGCATTTTGGATTGCTTATTTCTACTTCTTGATAATCATGCATAGTGCTCTTTAATATTCTTGTACAAGTTTTATATTGACATATGTTTTCATTTATCTTGAGTAGATATGTAGGAGTAGAATTTCTGAGTCAATGTTGTCTATTT